TGCCATCCTGGCCAACTTTTTGCTTTAATCATTACACACACACACAGAGTCATTTAAAAAAATAATTTAAAAAAACCCTCCAATGTAGTAATAGCCTTTTCCATAAAATGAAAATAAAGTCTCTATTTGAAAAAGAAATGCTATCATGAAACTGCAAGATACCCAAGACTTACCCTGCTATTCCCAAGAAACCTCGCAATGGTAACACTCCCCAAATGACACCTAGAACCACAGCGATAATCTGTCGGAACCAGTAGATCACATCTAAAAACTCATCCTGTAGAAAAAAGAGAAATTGCATGCATTATCTGGAGTGGGTGCCACAGAACCTCCTGTAATAGGTGACGAACAGAAAAGCTTCCTACCAACCTATCTTCCGGGGAACTGTCCCCCAAAAGCAAGAGTATTAGGCTCTCGCATCTCCACCTCTTCTTGTACTAAACGGTGGTAAACACACACACACACACACACACACACCGCCACACACACACACAAAACAATGCTTGCCTTGAGTGATGACTTCTAAGGGTTGTGCTCTAAATAAAAATTTTAGAAAAATCCATTGACCTTTTTTGAGAAGCTGCAAAGATGAAATGGCTGTGCTAGTAACTGTGATCCTGGGCACTGATAACGCTTATCTCATCTGAGGAGACCTAGACACACCAACCCCGGAAGTAGGGCTGACAGTCACCCTAGGCAGCACTATCTTCCCGCACACCGGGTTCTGAATAGGTCACAGAGGATAGAAAGGAAAGTGTTGGAGGCAGGTGCCAGCAGACCTGTTTTACCTACAAGGACAGGGAAGACTCGGGTTTCCGACCTGCCCTAGATTGCAGAACCAGTCCTTACGGAAGGAGAGAGAAATGACACAGCAGATCAGAGAGGTTTCACAGAAGCTGGCAGAGCTGGGGCACCTCCAGGAAGTGCCTCCCATCCCTTCTTACCGGAACTCCAGGAAGGAAAAACTAAACCACCAGTCACCCCCCACTCCCCAGATATAACAGTGTCTTCAAGTCAGCGGGAATCAAGCTGTTTGTAACGGTCCCTTCCAGATCATGGGTGAGGAGTGCCCGAACTTGGATCTGAATGTGTGTGACCAGTAAGGAGAAGGAAGTCCGGAAGCCCCAGCCATTCCTCACATACATGTTTTCTCATTCTCTTTCTCTCTCTCCTCCTCCCTCCCCTGCAAGGCGGTCTCGGTCTCCCCACAACTCTCACACTTAGGTATTCGGTTTTCCAAGCAGCGGCAACTCCTCTTTGGGGAGCCTCACTATGTGCTACCTCGTTCACGCCCCTCTCACTGATTGTACCCCAGCTCGGAGCTCTTCTGCGAACACATGGCGAGCCCCTGACAGAGCACCCAGTGGATGTCTGTCCCGCTACTTTTCGCGCTAACGACTACGTGAAGTAGTTAATTCGGAGACGGTAAGTCCCTTAAGGTCCTACTAGGGGTGAAAGGCGGAGGTCAAATCGAATTCAGCTCCATCTCGCCAGGCACACGCCCTGCCCGCGAGGACACCTCCGCTGCCCCCTCCACGCGGCTTCTCGAGTGACCGTCAGGCTATTCCGCGGGGAGCCCCTGGCTCAGCTCAG